CTTGCATGGAGCTTATTAGTGAGTATTTACACCTCCCTGGCTGTCCCCTCAGCAGTGCACAGACACTGAGAGACGGCAGCCCTGCACAGCCAGCTGGCCCTCTACTGAAACGAGGATGAGCAAGGAAAGAAAGCCATCCAAGGTGTCATTTCGTGTCCTCCTCAGAGAGGACAGCCGGCCATTTTCATGATTAAACCCACGAACTACTCCCACTGGCCTCTGTGACAGCATCTTCTGACCATAGTGGTTACTGATGAAAGAGAATCTGGATTATTTTTCTTAGTAGAAAATTAAAACCACATACACACAGATGGAGGGAGAGTGTATTCCACTGTAATGCTCTTAATAAGAACTCCAGATTGCTCAAGGCATGTCCCCCTCATGATACCAGACACCCCCATCACCCAGAAGATGGCCCAGAGGACTTGTGCTACAGCTCAGCAAGTGTGCATGTCACGGGGATCCAACCACTCTGGCCCTTTCTTCACCCAGCATATTGATTCCTCCAGAGTGTCAGGCACTGTGCTGGGCCCAAGGACAAAAGCTGTCCCCAGGCCTCTCTACCACAGGAGACTGGCCAAGGCACACTGAGCGTCTGCAGGAGAGTTTAGGCAGTCCCCTCCCAGGCTGCTCCATGCTGGCCCTTTCTGCTCCTGCAAAGCTGCCCATCCATCTTGCTTTATAGACTGCAGAACTGCAGCCCTGCTCAAAGGCAGACGCTTGCCCCTGTGGCTGAGGAGCAATGAACTGTCCACTGGCAGCTCTCCCAGCTGGAATAAAAAGACTGTACTTCAAATAAAGTTTCCTCTAAAAAAATAAAAATGATAAAAATAAGGCACTACCCCGGTGTTTCCCATATGTGAGCCTGCCTTTTACGGCCTAGATGCTTGACTCTCATTAGCATTGTTAAAGAAAAGCTGTTGACTGTACGTGGGGGCAGCTCCAGCACTTCTGTATCGCAGGATTTGGGGACGGGGTAGTGGTCAGCAGGAATGGGGTATCTGCTTATTGAGCACACTGGTTTTTGGGGAGATGCTGATGGAGAATGCAGAAGGGTAAGACCCTCTCCCAGCACCCCCACCAGTTCTTGGCAGCATCCCAAATTAAGCCTTTGTTCCATGAACGGAGCCAGCACCAGGAATCAGGAGCGCTGCATGCCAGTTCCAGCTCTGATTCGCTGAGGGACTTTGTGCAATTCCAAAATTTTCCTAAGCTTTAGGATTCTGCTCTGTAAAGAGGTGGAGTTGGACCACATTATCTCTAAAATCCCTTGAAATGATTCTAGGCCTTGGAGGAAGAAAAAGAAATTGGAGACACAGTTTCTATCCAAGGAAATGCTAATGATGGTGAAACTGTAGCACCACACGGAAACGTTGATGAAACTACAAATGGTGAAAGTCATGGAAAACTCTACCCCCATTACTTCTGGCAACAGCTCCCGATTTCCATTTGGGAAGGTCACAAGCTTCCGGTTCCAGGGATGGAACTCATGACCTACAACATGTCCTGAGTCCAGCCACTTCTCACCAGCTCTGTCACCATCCCCGTTCCAGCCACTATTGTCTGGCCCCTGTTTCCCCACCCCTCTCCACACAGCAGCAAGGGGGCTTTTCCGAGCATAACTCGTGTCATGCCTCTTCCCTTCTGAAAAGCCTGTAGACTCCACCATGGTCAGAATGAAGCTCTGTCTCCTCCCCATGCCAGCAGGGCCTGGCCTCCCATGGTGTCTGCCATTTCCCCACCTCTCTTCCCCTTGCTCTCTGTCAGTCCACTCTCCTCTGTCCATACTGGCCACTGTGGCTCTTCCTTTATCAACCTGGCTTGTTCTGCTTCAGAGCCTCTGCACTGGCCCCCTCTGCCTAGAATATTCTGTTCCTGGATCTTCTCGCAGCTTCTATTCTCATTGCATTCAGGTCTCTACTCAAATGTCACCTCCTAAGAGAGCCATCTTATTTAAGCAGCACTCCACCCCATACCCCACATCACTCTCTACCCTCTTAATCTGCTGTGGATGGTTTATTTTTTAATATCTGTTATCATTTCCTAATTTTGTATCATTCTGTTTGATGTACTTGTTTGTTTTCTGTCTCCTACTGGTAAGTAAGCCCCAACAGGGTAGGGGTCTAACCTGTCGTGTCAATATTATGCCTCCGGAATACACAATAGTAGCTGGTACATAATAGATGCTCAATAAACACTTGGTGAGTGAGTGAGTAAGTGAGTGAGGTCAATCTGAGCATTCAGTGTCCCAGCCATATTGGTTGGTTCTGGTTTAGGGGTCACATGACTTAACCTGGTCCAGGCAGAGTGAATCTCAGGACTTTACCGGAACACTGAGTCATGGGTACCTGCTTTGGTCTGCTGGGCTAAGTGTTGTTGTGGTGTGAGGCTGAGGCTGCCAGAGCTTCCAGATGGAGTCAGGAACAGGCCAACCCAGGGGAAGAAGGACCAAGGGGCAAAACCTGCTGGCATTCTTAGAACCTGAATAAAGTCATACCCAAAGCCAGAACTTTCTGACTTTTCTAACTAATGGGAGCCAGTTGATTTCATAAGCACTGTCTAGTTAATCTTCACACGACACCGAAAGAGTTCCGCTTACCCACATTTCCCAGATGACAGAATCAGGCTGAGGAAGAAAAGTTGAGTGACTTCGCCAAGGTCACAGAGTCAGTAAGGGTCACGTTAGGGCTCGATTTAAGGTCTTCTCGCCCCAATGCTATGTTCAGTATTCTCCTCCCCAAGGCCTCTAATGGCCCGTTTCTGGGGAAGACAGCAGGCTTGCTGACATGACAGAGCTGAGCCAGGGTGGAGTCAGATCAGCCTCGCAGCAGAGCAACCTGTTTGAGTCATTTTTGTTTATATAGAGCTTTTCTTCAAAGCACTCCACCTGTTTTTGCAAATAACTATTACAAGCCTTTTCTGCAGCAAGTCAGGAAGAGACAAGGCAAACAATAGCAACAGATGTTTCCCAGCCTTAGAAACTGGTGAGTGGCCAGCCTTGTCAGCTGACGCAGCTGACAGAGCCCAGACTGACAGCACAGGCCTCTGTGATCCATCTTTGAGAAGTGACATGGCACCTCACACATGTTCAGTCCTCACTGTCCATTGGCCCCACCAGCAGGGTATGAGACAATGAAGCTCCTTATGTTTTAAAGAGTGGCCAGTGTCTGGCTTTTGTCCCTCCCAGGCTCCTCTCCCATGAGCGCCACTAAGGATGGCTTTGTTGGTCTGGACCGTGAAGTTCAGCTGCCTCCACTGGCCCTGCTCCAAGGATGAGCTTTGTTTCTCTGAGCTGGGCTCACACCATGTGAGTCCTGGGTCCAACTCCTAGGCCTGAGGTTTCCCAGCAGCCACCTTCGGACTGACTGCCCAGGTGACTGTTCTCAGGAACAAGCCTGCAGGGAAACATCTCAGCCACATGTTCTCACTTGTGCCCGAGGTGGCCAAACAGCATCTAAAGGACTCAGAGGAAGACCAAGGGGTGGCCCAGGCTCCCCTGCCAAGCCCCCAGGCCCTTAGTGAGGGGTGGGAGCCATGGGAGCTGTCTCCGTTCATCCATAAAGCCTGCTCAACAGCCCTTTCCTTTCCTGGGCCTGGTTAAGAACCTGCAGTGCCTCTCACTTTGCCTCCCAGCCAGGCCATTGGGTTCCTTCCCAGTGCCTGCCTGGTCTGCAGCTGGACCAGGGCACAGCTCAACCTGAATCTCCTACCTGGGTGGTGGCACCCATGTCAGCATATGGCCCTGCAGAATGAGGCTGAAAAACCACCCAGTGAGCAGTCTGAATTCAACTAGTAAAGATCAGATGACAGTTTTCATGTGGACTCAAGTATTTACTTCTTTGGGCAGTTCTCAGAAAACCAGAGTCTAGACGGAGACTCACCAGTTTTTGTTTGCCTTTGCCTAGAACCCGCTAGGCTCTTACTAAATGACCATCTGACTCCACACACCTAAGCATCAGGTAATTCCCGTAAGTCCACAGTCTTCAAGCATGGAGGTGCATCAGATTCAGGGGGGAAGACTGGGAAGACTCTCCACCTGCAGAGATTTGGGTGCGATGAGTCTGAGATGAGCTCACAGTACACATCCCATGTTGCAGAGAAGAACAGAGCTAGTGAGCAGCACTTCTCCCTGGCTTCTCCATTCTCTCCTTCATGGGAGTGGACAGGAATCCCCTCATAATTTGTCCCTATGACAGCCGAGTTGTCCCCACTGGGGAGCAAGGCAACCCCTGATGTCATCAGGTGCAACACATAGCCAGATGAGCCCAGCGCTGGCCAGGCTGTGGTTATGCACTGCACACACCCAGCTCTTTGCATCCGGCTCACTCCTAGCCAGACTGCAGAGGCATGTGATAAGTGGCAGCCATTCAAAACCAGAGGGACTCTACCCTGTTAAAGGGGTGCCACTCTCAGTTCTGATGGAGACAGCAAAAGGGTGGATGTCTTTGGGACAGCCTCCCATAGCAAGAAGCAAGCTGTGCATTTGTTCCAGGATCACATTTCGCCCTTGGGTGAACTGGCTCAGAGCAAGCAGTATCATCTCTGCTCTGGAAGGTTGTTTGCCTAGGCTTTCTCCGCAGCTGTACTGGGCTACGCATGGCCATATTAGCGTCAGCAGTAAGAGCTGGCACTTTCCAGGTCCTCAGGAAACTTATTAATCCCCATTATGACTTTATCAGGTGGGCACTAAAATTACGTCCCACCCTTTAGAGATAACTGAGGCGCAGGGAGGTTCATGACTTGTCTGAGAGCCCATGGCAAGGGAGTATCGGCTCTGGACAGTGAACCCAGGCAGTCTTGCCTCTGGAGTTCTCCACGGCTTGGACAGGAGAACAGGGCACCAAGTGAGTCTCAAGTCTGCCAGGCCAGTGCTCAGGGACCCATCCATTGGAAGGAGTGGTGATGTGGGCACCATTTGCCTCATGGGATGGAGGGGCTGGTGTAATCCGGGCACTTGAGGTCAAGGTTTTTGTGACTAATGCCATAGATATGTGACTGAGTGATTTGTTTTTCTCCTTTTTATTAAACTGATTGTAAGATTAGTGACTGGGGCATTCCAGAAATGCACATCAGAGTGTTCCAGAGAGGTGCGGCTGGTAGGGCAGAGAGAGAAGGCAAACACCAGCCACCTGAAGGGCTGGGGGAACTCCAGCTTCTGTTTTCCAAAGACACAGCTTCCAAGAACAGCAAAGAGAAGCCAGACCAAGCTCCAAGGAGCATGCCCTGACAGCCCGCTGCGCATCCCGCCCGGGGTGGCTGGGCTGTCGTGGTCCTAGAGGGTCTGTGGGTCCCTACCCTCTCTCCCTCAGCCAGGTGTCTGGATACCTGAGCAGCAGTCCCCCTCCAGGGTCCCTTCCCTGCCAGGCATCAGAGCCACAGGGGAGACCCACAAGGAGCCTGCCTGATGCAATTGTAGCTGGCATTGTCTCCATACCTCACAAGCGTGCTCTCACTGTGAGGAGAGCCACCTGCCCTCTCTTCCTGTTTGTGTCTGTCCAGAAGAGTGCTCCCTTGCAGACACCTGTAGGGGAGGGAATCAATGGGATGGGACTCGTTAGCAGTCACCGCCCCTGCTGGAGCCAGTGGGCCTATGGGAGATGTTGGATGGTTCTGTTCAAACAAAAGAGAACAAGCAGTGGGTGGAGGCAGAGGGCAGCTAGCAGGACAGAGGAGGCTGGCGGGTGAGAGGGTGTTCAGAGTGGGGACAGTGGCTAGCTCTCTCTTGAGGGTGGTGGTGGGGAGTGCAACTGCTCCCTCAGTGGCTGTGGAAAAGTTGGTTAACAAGCAGCTGGGCCAGGTGCAGTGGTTCATGTCTGTAATCCCAGAACTTTGGGAGGATGAGGCAGGAGGATTTCTTGAGGCCAGGAGTTCAAGACCCTGTCGCTACGAAAAAAAAAAAAAAAAAAAAAGCCAGACGTGGTGGCTAAAGCCTGTAGTCCCAGCTACTTGGGGGGCTGAGGCAGGAGGATCGCTTAAGCCCAGGAGGTCAAGGCTGCAGTGTGCAGTGATCGTGCCACTGCACTCCAGCCTGGGTGACAGAGCAAGACCTTGTCTCAAAAAAAAAAAGATGTAAAAGGCAGCCTGACCCCCTGACCCCGGGATGATGCAGGCTGGATGCAGGAAATAGGAACTGCTCTGGAAACCAGAACTGGAGGGGCCTGAGATGGAAATGGATGGACTCGGCTGGCTGAGCAAGGAATCTGGAATTTAAGGAAAGGCTCCCAGGAAGAGCTGCAGCCTCGGCTGGACAAAGCTGCAGTCCATGTCACCCTTTGGCTTTAGCTAATCTGCATGGGGACTGGCCCTGACAGAGACAAACACGCCTGAGGCACTTCCTGAGGAGGGGGTGAGGGAAAAATGGAAGGCAGCATCTCTGAGCCTCTGTCCCAGATGGAGGCTGTGATGGGGAGGCCCCAGTCTCAATCCAACACATACAGTGAGTGTCTACGGTAAGCAGCTGAGCATCTCTGTCTTCACACATCCCCCACAAACACATGCTATACAGGCACATCTGCAAACAAACTCGTGACACATATATACCTCCCACAAACACAACACAAAAGGACATCAAAACACACACACATGGTATCTTGTATGACTTCTCCCTTGGAGCCAGGTTCTGGAACTGTGCCACAGCCTTATCATGAGGAGTGTTAGATCTTCGGTGACTAAATCCCCTTGGATAAAGTCCAATGAGGTCTTCTTGTTCCAAATTCTCCAGCAAATGCTGTTGCAGTGAGGTTCCTACTGGGACAGAATCACAAAGCCAGATGCTAACTGAAGTGGTCATCTAGCACCTAAGGGAACGGGCAGGACACCCCCCAATCCTCCCCCGGGGATTATAGTTGCCTCATTTTAATTCATTCTTGGAGGAACACATGATCCAGTCTCAATCCCAGAAGTCAATAAAATCTTCTTAGTGTGGAAATGGTGCAGAGTTACCATGGTTTAGAACCAGGCTCACAATATGTTGCCCTCATAGTTTCTCTCTTATCATTACTTAAAGCATGACTTTTTGCCGGAATCCATCATCTTTTATCCAACACGAGTCCTCTTGTACATTCTCTCCCTCATGCACATAAGAATTGCTTTATAGTGGGAGACAGGGAGCCTTCTGGGATTGTGTTTGCAGGGTGGAACTCTCCTGGAGGCAGGGCAGGCACTTAAGAGAATGAAAAACACAGCAGTCCAATGGCATTGATCTGAAAATCTCTGGAAGGCACCAAGCCCAAAGGTGTCTATGGACAGCAGACCACGTCTCCTACTCAGCTAACCTTTCATCCTGTGGTTGGGAGGAGCCTGACACTTGGGTTGGCTAAAGTTTGAAGGCTCACCTACTTCAGGTCTTTAGGTACAATTCATCCTGTTCGGGGCTGCCCAGTGGCCCTGTTGCTAGTTAGGAAGTGGGTTGGTAACCCTTGGTCTTTTCTTTGGGGAAAAATCAAACCCATATGCTTCTTCAATAATCAGAAAAGGACAGCAAACACAGAGGACAGTGGGGATGAGAGAGGAAAGCTCTTTGCAGCTTTAAATGTCTAACAACTCAGCCACGAAGCCTAAGCATTGAAAGCAGCAGGTTTTGCAGGTTGTTAGTTCTCAAAGTGAACAGCTCCTGTTACAGTAGGTAGCTAGTCAGGCATGAGCCTAGCAGGAGAGGGCTCCCTGACACACATACCAGGAGTGTCAGGCAACCATCAGGTGATGGTCAGGCGGTTGTTAACTCTCTCAAATAGTAATTGGTCACAGCCAGTGCCAGGGAAAGGCAGGCTCCCAGTAAATAGAAAACACTTGAAACTGGTGATGAGCAGCTTCCCGATAAGATCTCAGGAGTTGGGCAAGGGCTCCAGCATGCGCATTAAGAGGCAAAATGGCAGAGTTTAACTGGTGTAGGACCTTCCTCTAGGAATGCTAGCCTAGGAAGGGAGGATGCCTCAGGTGAGCATGCGTACAACTCCAGTCAACACACTACACATGTTCCCTTCCCAAGCCCTGGCAGGCCACCCCGAGGAAAGAATCGGGAGAAGGAACACACAAGACCCCAGAAGTATGCCAACATATAAACCCCAAGTCAAAAGATCAAACAGGGCAGGTGGCCACTCAAGCCACTTGCCTGGCCCTCTTCCAAGTGTGCCTTCCTTTCATTCCTGCTCAAAAGCTTTTTTATTTTATTTTATTATTTTATTTTATTTTTTTGAGACGGAGTCTCTCTCTGCCGCCCAGGCTGGAGTGCAGTGGCGCAATCTCAGCTCACTGCAAGCTCCGCCTCCTGGATTCAAGCGATTCTCCTGCCTCAGCCTCCAGAGTAGCTAGGGTTACAGGCGCCCACCACCATGCCAGGCTAACTAAAGCTTTTTTTTTTTTTTTTTTTTTTTTTTTTTTTTTTTTGAACGAGTCTGTTGTCTAGGCTGGAGTGCAGTGGCGTGATCTCGGCTCACTGCAAGCTCCGCCTCCGGTTCATGCCATCTCCCGCTCAGCTCCGAGTAGCTGAACTACAGGCGCCCGCCACCGCCCGGCTAGTTTTTTTATTTTAGTAGAACGGTTTCACCGTTTAGCCAGATAGTCTCGATTCCTGACCTCTGATCCCCGCTCGGCCTCCAAGTGCTGGGATTACAGCTTGAGCCACCGCCCGGCCTACTAAGCTTTTTAAAACTTCACTCTGCTCAAACTCCCTTTCTCTCCTGCTTAGCCCCAGTCAAACTGAGGTTGCTGCAGCCCTGTGCAGATACGGATAAGTTCCACTGCTAGCATTTCCACCAGGGCCGAGACGAAAGTTCTTGAAGGCAGTGTTGTTTCAGCCAGTGCTCCCAGTTCGTGCAGCAGCAGGAGTGCAGCTGACGCTAATCCACAGACTCCTAAGGGCTTTCCTGTGTGGGCAACTTCTGCCTCCCCCAGGGCATCTCCTCCAGAGTAATTGCTAAGGGGAGCAAGGAAAGAGGATAATTTTCAGCTGTGACCTTTCTGCTAGGCAATCTCTCAGTTATCAGTGGCTGATATGTTTAAAATGATATTTGCAAGGGGGATGACCTTCATTAAATAAGGTCAAGGGCACCATTAGGGGAGGGAGCTGAGAGACACCAGAAGAGTGACAAAGAGACAAAGACAGAATCACAGCCCTCCCCGGGGTTGTTGACTGAATTCTGAAAGATTGAAAAGTCCCTAAGGCAGCAACCACAGCTTCCCAACATTGAAGGGAGTCGAGTCACCTGCTGGCTTACCAGCAAGCTCCCTGGATATGCAATAAATAAAAGCAAAGGGTAAAGGTGAGACCTGGCTGCCCGGGAGCTCAGTTGGCTGAATCCTTAAAAGAGCTCAGGTATTTAATTTAAATCACCTGGTGAAAGGCATTTCCCCCCACCCCAGCAGTTCTGTCTAGACGTTTCCCACCCACTCTTCCAAAAAAAAAAAGAAAAGCCCAAAAGAGTTCCCTAAGGGCCCTGGGAAAAAGCAAGAAATAAATAGGACCATCAACTGTAGCTGCCAGTGAATTGTTAAAGTCTGTATATGGTTTGCAATTACCTACAAAAATCAGACTATCAGAGCATTCTCAAGTACTATTCCAGGTAAAGGTATTCTTGGGGCCTCAAAGGTATGATTGCTTCAGCTTTGTCTTGGTTTCTCCTGTAAGTCCTTTGAAATACCAGCATGGTTCATGTAGAGAAGAAACAGTGTGATGAACAAAAGAGCATGTGTCTGGGGTCAAGGACATCTGTATTTCTAACCTGCTCTGCCTTTTCCCAGCTAGGTGATTCCGGGCAAGTTATCAAATTCTCTTAGCCTGAGTTTCATCATCTGCCAAAGGAGATGACCATTTGGTGTTTTGTGGGCTGCAATCCCAGAAAGCCTAAGGCGAAAAGCTGAAACAACCAAGGGGTTGACTGGCTGGCATCGCTGAGCCCGGAGCACCAGCCATAGCTCCGTCCAGGCCCTCCCACACCCTTTCTCTGCGAGTTTTTGGCTCTTCTCTCTGCTATGTGTTGAGCAGCACAGAAACGGATGCAGCAGGTCTAGGCCTTATATCCATACACTAGGAAGTCAGTGGCAAGAGACATCTCTAGTAACCCTCTTTTAAGATAAAGCAAACTTCTTTCCCAGAAGCACTTAGCTAACTTTCTCTTGTTTCCTATTGGCCCAAAGAAGTCACACCTCATTTCTCAACTAATTGCTATGGCAAGGAGATCGGCCTTGAGCTGTGTTCCTCAGCCTATTGATCACAAAGGACTCCTCTTGGATCAGTGAAGCCCTCCCTTGGAGCTGGGAGTGCAGTCCTCTTACTGGGACAGCCAAGGGCTGGGGAGAGCAGGAGCTGTATTTGGGGAGAGGAAATGGATCTGCTGCTTAGATAGGCAGCAATTCCAACTCACAGAAGGTGGTGGGAATTAAATGAGATGTGTGAAAGCACTTAGCCCGGCCCCTGACACATAGTCAATACAATAAGAGGGAGTGAGAGAGAGTAAATACAGTAAGACAGAGGAAGGCAGAAGGTGGGGAAGAACACCATAGATGAAGTGAAACCAGAAATGAATCATTCACATATCTGGGGAGCTACAGCTTAGAGAGTGTGCTTCTAGTTACCCTAAAATCTATTCCAATAGCTAACCTACCATCACCACACTAGTGCTCAACCCCACTCCCCGCCCCAAACGCAAACATTTCATGTATTAGGGTCAAGACCATCCTCAGGATGCTTCTAAACTCTGGAGTAGAAATCAGAAGACCACTGACTGGCTGGAAGACACAATTCTTCTGAGCCTTCATTTCCCCCCATTCATTTGCTCTTAATTTCTACCTTTGTAAGTGGCCTTATGTCGTTCCCATAGATGCCCAAAATGCCCCAATACTGTCCAGCAGAACTTTCTGCAAGGATGGGAATGGTTTTGGTGCTGTCCAGTACGGTAGCCACTGGCCACATGTGGCTACCAAGCACTTGAAACATAGCTAGTTCAACCTAGGAGGTGAATTTTTTATTTTAGCTACTTTTAATTGAAATAGCCACATATGGCCAGTGGCTACCAGAACGGGTAGTGTAGCTCTAGACTGTACCTTCCTGAAGGCTGAGACAGAAGTTTCTGCTTCCTCTGTACCTCACCACTGCCTTGAGGCAAGTGTGGGGCCCTCGGAGGGCCTCCCGTAAATGCATGTCACCAACTAGCTAAGTGCTCCCAGTTTGCACGGAATCATGAATAGACCTGCTCAGCAAAGGTGAAGTGACTGAGCCCTTGTGGTTTAATGGAGAAAAACAGAACTAACCTGGGCACTGAGAGTGAGCAACGCCTGCTCCACTCTGCAGCAATGGATTGCCGCACTCTCCAGGCCGTGTCAGTCTGTCCTCACGGGTCTTTGCGCGTGTGTGTGTTGTGTGTTGCATGAGAATGGCCTTGGGAGGGTGAGAGGAGCTGCCTGCTCCTCCAGCCCTGCCTCCCCAGTGGCTGGCCTCCGTCCTGTCTCCTGCTCACTTGAGGCGCTTGCTGAGATGATACAGGCTTGAAAAGAGGAGGGGGGAAAACACACTCCGGGAGCTGAGGGTCTGAATGCATTCTATCCTGACGGCTGGGAGATCACCCCTTCCACCACGGCGTTCAGCCAGCGCCCCCGCTGACACCCTCCCGGGAGTAACAAGAGGCCTTTTCTTCTCAGAGCATCGAACGTTTCCATGGGCACACTTCACCTCTCTCCTCCCGGGAAAGGCCACAGCTGATGGCTCCGCGGCATCCTCAGGGAGCTGTGATGCCTTCCCCCCACTGCCATCAAGATGATCAAAGCTCTGCCATCTTTAAATCGAATCCAGGAGGTTCACATTTAGGGCTTGCCTTCAGCTGGGGCAGGGAGTAGTGTCCTCATAAAAATCCCCTGCTTCTGAACGGAGCCATGAAGCTTGATTCACTGATAAAATCTCATCCTCTTCTCAGGTATTTATCACGGTCTGTGCACCACCTAGAGGCCACTGTCTTAAACTCTTTCCAGTAAGCAACCTGTCTCCTTCCCTCACCAACAGAAAGACCCCAGAAAGCCTGTGTTTCCTGAGCAGGCTCCACTGTGCTTCCACTTTCTCGGAGTCGGCTTTCTGTGATCCCACGCAGCTCTCACGGAGTCCCCAGACTGAAGCAGACCCACTCAACCAGAACAGCTTTCTAACACTTTCTAGCCTCTGTCAAATGAAAAGAACTTTTTGGTTTGTCTTCAGAAGTAAGAAAGGTACCTAGGAAAGATGAGCTGAGCCTTCCAGCTGATGTCCAAACCTACACGAGCTCTCAGTGCTAGGAGATTCTTGCAGCCGTCTGACCCGCACTCCTGGCTGGGTCTTCCTGTATGGGGCCCATTCTCCCAGAACTGGAGCTCCTGTCCCCTTCACCCTCCCTCCCATGACCATGTCGCTGCCACACAACACAGACTAGGAGCTGTCCCCAGGAGATGACACCATCTTAGGGGAATTGATACCGAATATGTTATTGTTGTCATTGTTTGCTCTCGTTTATTGTGGCAAAATATATATAACATTTACCCTTTAGCTTTTTTCAAGTGTACGATTCAATGCTGTGCAACTGTCACACCCATCCATTTCCAGTACATTTTCATCATTCCAGACAAAAACTCCATGCCCATTAAACTACAACTCCTCCTCCTTCCTTCCCCTCAGCTTCCGGTAACCTCTACCCTACTTTCTGTCTCTGTGACTTTGCCTATTCTGGGTACCCCCTATAAGTGGAATCGTACAATATTTGTACGGCTGTGCCTGTGGAAACTGCTGCAGTCTACAGGAAAGGCAGAGCCAAGTTCAAACTTCTCAAAACAAACAAGGAAGGGTCCGTTGTTTGGGAGCGTGGGCAAATCAAGCCTCAGCTGGTGTTTACTGTCTCCATTTTAAAGTGATCTGAAGAAAGCTCTACTGCAGAGCTGCAGGTAACTAGAGGATCTGACCCTGGAGGTTTGAGGTCAGGCAGGAGGCAGCTCTGAGTGTCTGGACGTGTTGGCGTGGGAGTTTCTGGGTTTGCGTGTCTGGATATAACCTCCGGATTCAAGGGGGGTGATGTCTACACTTCTTTCTTCCTGTACTTGACAATGAACCGATGGTGTACTTTATAGTCATTTTCTTATTACACTAACAGAATGGACCCTCTTGTAATATAAATGACTATTACAATTTGTGTAGGTTTCAATTA